GAAGTCGCCCTTCCTGCCCGACATGAAGCCCGGCATCGCCGCCCTGCACCCCTCGCCCTCGGGTAGGGGCTGGGCCCACCGCCCGCTGCAGGGGGCATCGCCCCTTTAAGGGCTGGGTGCTGCAGGGAGGGGCCTAGGGAGTGGGCGGGGCTTCTGCACAAAGGGGGCGTGGCCAAAGGGGGGTGTGGCTGCTGGGGGCTGCCCATGAATGGGCAGGGGGCGGGGCTTCGTGGGAAAGGGGGCGGGCCATGGGGGAGTGGGCGGGGCTTCGTGGGGGTGTGGCCTGGGTGGGAGGGGCTGTCCCATGGGGGGTGCTGCAGGGGGAGGGGCTTCTGTGGTGGGCGGGGCCTCATCGGGTGGGCGGGGCTTTGGCAGAGGGGTTCTTAAATGGGGGGGGGGACCCAACTGCTGCCCCACTGCACCCCCTGACCCCCCCCCCACCCACTGCACCCCCGTCCCCTAAACCCCAACCCCCACTGCACCCCCCTGACCCCCCACACACCACCCTGCTGCACCCCTGACCCCCCCACACCACCCCACTGCACCCCCGTCCCCCTAAACCCTGCCCCACTCACCCCCTGACCCCCCACAACCACCCCACTGCACCCCCCTGACCCCCCCCACCACCCTACTGCCCCCCTGACCCCCCCACCACTCCCACTGCACCCCCTGACCCCCCCACCCCACCCCCCACCCACCCCCCACTGCATCCCCTGACCCCCCCCCCCCCATCACCCCCTCTCGGTCCCACCACCACCGCCCCCTTGCCCACCCCGCAGGGCCCCCCCCCGGCGAGGAGCTGCGCCTCACCTTCCCGGTGCGCGACGGCGTGGTGCTGGAGCCCTTCCGCCTGCAGCACAACCTGGCCGTCAGCAACCACGTCTTCCAGCTGCGCGACTCCGTCTACAAGACGCTCATGATGAGGTCGGCGCGCGGGGGGGGTCGGGTGGGGTGGGGGGGGGGCACAGTACCCCTTGACACGGTGCCGGGGGGGCGGCGTGGGGACACGAGGCGTAAGGGCGCAGCGCGGTGACACATGGCACGGCGTGGCGGTGAATGGCACATGGCACTGCGCGGTGACACATGGCGCGGTGCGGTGACATGACACATGGCACTGCGCTGGTGACACATGGCACGGCGCGGTGACACATGGCGACTGCGTGGTGACACATGGCACGTGACGCGGTGCACATGGCACTCGCGGTGACACGTGGCGTGTGGCGCGGTGACACATGGCACTGCATGGTGACATGGCACGCGTGGTGACACATGGCGGCGGGTGACACATGGCACGGCGCGGTGACACATGGCACATGCATGCGCAGTGGCACATGGTGCGGTGAGGTGACACATGGACTGGCGCGGTGACACATGGCACTGCATGGTGACACATGGCGCGGTGCGGTGACACATGGCACGGTGTGGTGACACATGGCACATGGCACTGCGCGGTGACACATGGCACGTGCGCGGTGACACATGGCACATGGCATGCGGTGAACATGGCACGCGTGGTGCACACATGGGTGCCATGGCGCGTGGTGACACTGCCGGCGCGGTGACACGATTGGCACATGGCACTGCGCGGTGACCCATGGCACTGCGTGGTGACACATGGCATGGTGCGGTGACCACATGGCACTGCGGGGGCAAAATCCGTCCCTTTTTCCGTCCAAGGGCCACTGCCACCAGCCCCATCCCTTCCACTCCGAAAGTCGCCCCTCCTCAACAATCCTCACTGGGTTTAGGAATTGTTAGCATGGGAAGTGGGAAATATTTGGGATAGTAAATGATTATTATAGTAATTATTATTATATTATTATTATAGTAAATGATAGTAAATGATTATTGGGTTGGGAAATCTCCGGGATTGGATTTTTTTTCTTCTTCATTGTCATTTCCCATATCAATCGCTCAGTTTAATATATTATTGAATAATTTTTGTTCACTTTTTAATGTCTGCCTGCAATCATTCATAGAATTAATGCAGTGGGTGCCCTAACACAGTCCACTCCTGCTTCCCCTGCCTACCCCATGAATTTGTGTGGGGATGGCCACCATGGAAGGGAGTCAATGTATGGGTAGAGAATAGCCCTGGGTCATGGACACCCATGGGAGACTCAGGGAGTGGCAGGAAGAGTGTTTCCCATGGTACAGGGAAGCGGGGGTGGTTGGGGCTGCTTTGCAGACATACAGACTTATACAGATGCCTTGCATGTAATTGCTCTTCTGACTCCATGCTTTTCTAGTCCTGGGAGTTTTGTCCCAGGACAGGGACTCAGTCAAGCCTGTATGTCCAGGGCAGGATTTTCCAGTCCATTGTGCATCTCATTCCCAGAAGGGCTGTGAGGAGCAGCACTTGGTGTTCCCCATCTTCTCCAGCAAGGTGCTGCAAGCACCCCTGGCTGGGGAAAAAACGCCTTTTCTTGGGGGGAACTGCACCACACTGCACATTGCCTCCAAGAGGAAGCAGCCTGCCTTGCTTCCAGCCATCCCTGCCACTGGTGCTCAGCCCATTCTGGCTTGCAGGATGCAGCCCTGGGGACTCCTCCAGCCCAGGGTGAGGGGGCTTTGCTGCCCATGGGGATGGTGGGGACTGGGGGGACTCAGTGGTTGTAAAACAGGCCTGGGATGGTTTGGAAAACTGTGTGGCTCATAACCCCACCTCTGCACAGCCCAACCAAGCCCAGATGCCCCAGGGAGCCCTGGGGAGCAGCCGCAGCAGCGTCTGGGCTTGACACAGCAGCCGACCTGTCAGGCAGGTTTCCCAGAGCACTCAGAGAAGCCGGCCAGGACCAGGCATGCCCCTCCGTGTGCTCGCAGGCTGACGGGGCCGCCCGGTTCTCTCCTCACCACTGGAGCCATGCAGGCAGCCGGGCTGCTCCTCACTTGGGTGCTGCTGCGCCCGGCCAGCACCCAGCAATGCCACCCCAGCAGCCCTGGCAGCATTCTCCGCTTCACCGACACCCATGCCGAAATCCGGGTACCAGCACTGCACCGGGTGCCCAGCTCACTCGACCCCCTCTACAGCCTAGTCCGACACTACCTGGACCTCATCCAGCAAAACCCTCTGCCCACAGGTGAGTCTCCCAGGGACCCATGACATTACCTCCGTGGGTGCCACCATCCCTTGGAGCCCCTCTGCAATCCCTGTGCTAGTTACCTAGGAATGGTCAGTGGGGGCTGAACTGCTTTGTCCCTGCACTGAGTGGCACACTGCCGGGGGAGGGATGGGGGCGCATCTTGTGGGACATGGGAGCTGCCCCCAGGGCATTCACTGCCACCACGGTTTCTTTTACAGAGCTTCTCAGGGCAGCCCTGAATGACCCCAGCTCAGTTCAGACATCACAGGTGAGCGGGGACATGGGGACAGGGAAGCCATGGTGGTGGCACTTGCCCAGGATGGGGAATTTGTGACAGTGAGTGTATGGAGTTCCACAAAATCTGCATGTGACTATGCTGACTGTGCTCTGCTGTCACACAGGTCGTGCAGTATGAGCTCGGCTACATCATCTGTGCTGCAGTGTCTCTGCTCTTCACTGTGACTGTTCCAGTGGCTGGGCTGTGCTTCTGCTACTGCCGGAGCCAGCAGCGGTGTGGGGGCCGCCTGCGTGCCCATCGGCGCTCACTGGGTTGCCGGCGCCGCTGCCTCCTCATCTGCCTCTCCATCACCTCCCTCATCATCCTGTGAGTGCCCTAAAGCCCTCCACCACTGTCCCCCCTCACCTCAGGGTGGGCTGTGCCTATGGGGACAGGGATGGGGTTGCTCTGTGGGATCTCCCCATCACTGCCTGCTTGTCCCTGGCAGGACCAGTGCCATCTGTGCGTTGGTCACCAACCAGCGGGTGAAGGAGCAGATGGAGCCAGGGCTTGGTGCTGTTCCAGACACACTGCGCACACTGCGGCAGCACATTGCCAATGTCCCCCAGGTGGGTCCCCAAGCAGCTCTGCTATCCCAGGGTGGAGCAGACTGGGAGGCCAGGTGAAGTTGGTGCATTTTTAATGGCAAAGTAACATCTTGGAGAATGTCACTGCCATGTGCCCCCGTACACCAGTTCCTCTCTCTTTGCAGGGTGTGCAGATGGTGGTAGACCAGTTTGAAGTGCCCCGGCAGCAGATAATCTCCGACCTGGCAGGTAAGCATTGTACAGTCTCCCAGTGCACCCCAGCCTGGGCTGGGACAAGCAGCTGATGGTATCATGGTGCCTTGCAGGAGTAAGTCGCAGCGTGGGACTCTCCATCCATGCACAGCTGAAGGCAATGACCTACGCAGCACTGGCAGACCTGAAGGACAGGGCAGGAGGTATGGCTGAGCATGGCTCTCTCTTGGGCCACTGTCAAAGCCTTGCCAGGGACTGGGGTGGCCAAGTGGAGCAGTAAGAACTAGCCTTGGGCTTTCTCTTTAAGACCTACAGACCTCGCTGCACCATTTACAGATTCTCGACAAGACAGTGCGGGTGCTGACAGCAGCACGGGCTGAGCTGGAGCCAGTGCTGCGCGAACAGCGGCAGCGTGTGGTCGCACTCCTAGACGACCCACGTTGCACCTCCTGCGCCAGCATCCTGGGTAGGGCACAGAGCCTGGAGCTGGGTGCTGACTACAGCAAGGTGAGATGGGGTGCTGGTCCCCATGCCACCACCCCTCTGGCACCAACAAGGCTCATGGGATGCTTTCTCCTACCCCCTAGGTGCCCTCAGTGGAGAAGGTTTTGAAGACATTGGCTGGTCTGCCCCGAAGTGATTTTGCAGAGATGATTCGGCAGGTGGGGGCAGATGGGGTTGAAGTGGGGTAGCCTGGTGCTCACAGGCAGCCCCATCTGAGCTGCTCCTACCCTCTCTTCTCCTCACAGGGCAACGGTACCTTCAACTCTATCCCAGAGCTGGCTGTGGAGAGGATGGCACAGGTCATTCAGGGTGAGCAAGACCCTCATGCAGATCAGTGTTGCCCTCCGTGGGGTAAATCTGGATTTAGGGAGGTGGCATGGGACACACAGACCCCCTTCACCATGGTCTTGGTCCTGCAGAGCTGCGGGAGGAGATGACCAAAATGTCAGAGAAGGTGCAGAGCATTGCCGATGGCTTTCCCCTCCCTGACTATACCTGGCATGTCAGTGAGGCCCTGCTGAAGGCAGAGAACCGGAGCCAGCCTTTCCTCCGTGAGGTGGAGCGCTTCGAGTGGTACAGGTGACACAAATGGGTTCTGGGGGTGCAGTGGAGGTGGGTGCTGAGCCCCCATGAGCCATATCTAGGACTGTATTGTGAGGCTGCAACTTTCTCCAGGTGGATCATGGGCATGGCACTGTGCTCCATCATCCTCCTCATCACTGCCTGCAACGTGGTGGGGATGGCCCTGGGGACATACGGGCTCTCCAAGCGGGAGGACCCAAGCGACTACGAGTGCCGAGGAGAAGCTGGCGCCAAGTTCCTTATGGTGTAAGCATCCCTCTGGGTCCCAGGGGTCTGTAGCCATCTCATGCTACCCCAAAAAGCAAAAGCAAAGGGACGAACCTGGAGCCACCTGAGCAGAAAGGCTTTTGTAGCCACCGCCTGCGCCAGCGGGTCTGGGAGAAGCTGCTCCTCCCTGGGATCCTGCAGCTCCCGCGCCCAGCCAGCATGCCCAGGCGCAGGAAGGAGCCGCAGGGCTGGGCAGGTTGCCGCAAGCCTGCTCAGGTCTGCAAAGCTGTCAGCAGTGCCTCCGTGCCTCCTCTCCCTCTTTCAGTGGCGTAGGCCTGGGTTTCCTGTTCTCCTGGCTCCTCATCCTCTTGGTTTTTGCCACGTTCCTGGTTGGGGGCAACATCCAGACACTGGTTTGCAGGAATTGGGTCAACCAGGAGATTTATAAGGTGGGTAGCCATGCATCTGTCCATCACTCCATCCACGTCTGCTTGGGTACACCAAGATGCCTACAAATGCCTCCTCTCCTTGAACCCTGCTTGGAAAGCCTTATCCTAAACCAAAATATTAAGATAAGGATTAGGCCGCTGGATTTGCAACAGCAGCGTGAAATTGGCTTTGTGCTGGTTAATTTGTTTGGAG